GAGCCTGAAAAATTCATTTTTTCAATACAATATTAAAAGAAATTGATCATTTCGGGGACCTGTTTTTTTTGTTGAAACGTTCTATTTTAGGAACTTCAAACATCCAGGGTTGCTACTCCCCAAAGGGAATTACGTATATCCTATACACCCTGTTGTATGGAAGAGACCAAATTCCTTTCAGAACTACATACATAGAATATAGGTCCCCGGTGAAAATATTCATTCATTTTATTGGTTTTCATTGCAAACATATGTTTTTTGTCATAGTTCCCCGACACCGGTCGTGGGGGATACCCTTCGGTGAGCTTGAAAAACTCATTTTTTTAATACAATATAAAAAGAAATTGATCATTTCGGGGGAGCTGTTTTTTTGTTGAAACGTTCTAGTTTGGGAACTTCAGATATCCAGGATTGCTGCTACCCAAAGGGAATTACGTATATAATAATTATACATGAAGGGGACCCTATTGCTTGCAAAACTACATACATAGAATATAGGTCCCCAGTGAAAAGTATTCATCAATTTTTGAAGGAATGCCACCTAAGTCCATTAGTTTTCATTGCAAACTATTTTTTTTTCATAGTTCTCCGACACCGTTCGTGGGGGGTACCCTTCGGTGAGCTTGAAAAACTTATTTTTTTGATACAATATGAAAAGAAATTGATCATTTCGGGGGAGCTGTTTTTTTGTTGAAACGTTCCAGTTTAGGAACTTCAGATATCCAGGATTGCTTCTACCCAAAGGGAATTATGTATAAAATAATTATACATGAAGGGGACCCTATTCCTTGCAAAACTACATACATAGAATATAGGTTCCCAGTGAAAATATTCATCATTTTTTGAAGGAATGCCACCTAATTCCATTGGCTTTCATTGCAAAATATTTTTTTCATAGTTCTCCGACACCGGTCGTGGGGGGTACCCTTCGGTGAGCTTGAAAAACTCATTTTTTTAAATACAATATAAAAAGAAATTGATCATTTCGGGGGAGCTGTTTTTTTGTTGAAACGTTCTAGTTTAGGAACTTCAGATATCCAGGATTGCTTCTACCCAAAGGGAATTACGTATTTAATAATAATACATGAAGGGGACCCTATGCCTTGCAAAACTACATACATAGAATATAGGTCCCCGGTGAAAATATTCATTCATTTTATTGGTTTTCATTGCAAACATATGTTTTTTGTCATAGTTCCCCGACACCGGTCGTGGGGGATACCCTTCGGTGAGCTTGAAAAACTCATTTTTTTAAATACAATATAAAAAGAAATTGATCATTTCGGGGGAGCTGTTTTTTTGTTGAAACGTTCTAGTTTGGGAACTTCAGATATCCAGGATTGCTGCTACCCAAAGGGAATTACGTATATAATAATTATACATGAAGGGGACCCTATTGCTTGCAAAACTACATACATAGAATATAGGTCCCCAGTGAAAAGTATTCATCAATTTTTGAAGGAATGCCACCTAAGTCCATTAGTTTTCATTGCAAACTATTTTTTTTTCATAGTTCTCCGACACCGTTCGTGGGGGGTACCCTTCGGTGAGCTTGAAAAACTTATTTTTTTGTTACAATATGAAAAGAAATTGATCATTTCGGGGAACCTGTTTTTTTGTTGAAACGTTCCAGTTTAGGAACTTCAGATATCCAGGATTGCTTCTACCCAAAGGGAATTACGTATAAAATAATTATACATGAAGGGGACCCTATTCCTTGCAAAACTACATACATAGAATATAGGTTCCCAGTGAAAATATTCATCATTTTTTGAAGGAATGCCACCTAATTCCATTGGCTTTCATTGCAAAATAGTTTTTTCATAGTTCTCCGACACCGGTCGTGGGGGGTACCCTTCGGTGAGCTTGAAAAACTCATTTTTTTAAATACAATATAAAAAGAAATTGATCATTTCGGGGGAGCTGTTTTTTTGTTGAAACGTTCTAGTTTAGGAACTTCAGATATCCAGGATTGCTTCTACCCAAAGGGAATTACGTATTTAATAATAATACATGAAGGGGACCCTATGCCTTGCAGAACTACACACATAGAAAATAGATCCCCAGTGAAAATATTCATCAATTTTAAGGAATGCCACCTAAGTCCATTGGTTTTCATTGCAAAATATTTTTTTTCATAGTTCTACGACACCGGTCGTGGGGGGTACCCTTCGATGAGCCTGAAAAACTCATTTTTTTATACAATATGAAAAGAAATTGATCATTTCGGGGGACCTGTTTTTTTGTTGAAACGTTCAGTTTAGGAACTTCAGACATCCAGGATTGCTGCTCCCCAAAGGGAATTACGTATTTAATAATTATACATGAAGGGGACCCTATTCCATGCAGGACTACATACATAGAATATAGGTCCCCAGTGAAAATAGTTATCAATTTTTGAAGGAATGCCACCTAATTCCATTGGTTTCATTGCAAAATAGTTTTTTCATAGTTCTCCGACACCGGTCGTGGGGGGTACCCTTCGGTGAGCTTGAAAAACTCATTTTTTTAATACAATATAAAAAGAAATTGATCATTTCGAGGGAGCTGTTTTTTTGTTGAAACGTTCCAGTTTGGGAACTTGAGATATCCAGGATTGCTGCTACCCAAAGGGAATTACGTATATAATAATTATACATGAAGGGGACCCTATTGCTTGCAAAACTACATACATAGAATATAGGTCCCCAGTGAAAATATTCATCAATTTTTGAAGGAATGCCACCTAAGTCCATTAGTTTTCAATGCAAACTATTTTTTTTTCATAGTTCTCCGACACCGTTCGTGGGAGGTACCCTTCGGTGAGCTTGAAAAACTCATTTTTTTTAATACAATATGAAAAGAAATTGATCATTTCGGGGGACCTGTTTTTTTGTTGAAACGTTCCAGTTTAGGAACTTCAGACATCCAGGATTGCTGCTCCCCAAAGGGAATTATGTATATGATAATTATATGACCTTTTACATGGAAACGATCAAATTCCTTGCAGAACTACATACATAGAAAATAGGTCCCCAGTGAAAATATTCATCAATTTTTGAAGGAATGCCACCTAAGTCCATTAGTTTTCATTGCAAAAAAAAAATCTTTCATAGTTCCTCGACACCGGTCAAGGTGGGTACCTTTAGGTGAGCTTGAACAATTTCAAAAAGGATTTTGATGGTGTTTTGGTGGATTTTAGTGGGGTGAAAAAATTGAAACATGACCATTTATGTCCATTTATAATGCAGTATGGGTGATATTTTGATAATTCAAAACAAAATAGTGGGGTGAAAACTTGAAAAATGTTCTTGTATGCTGCAGTACGGATGATATTTTGATAATTCAAAGGATTTTGGTGGGGTGAAAATTTGAAACATGTCCATATATGTCTATTTATGCTGCAGTATGGGTGATATGTTGATAACTCAAAGGATTTTAGTGGGATGACAATTTGAAAAATGTCCATTTATGTCCATTTATGTCCATTTATGCTGTAATATGGGTGATATTTTGATAATTCAAACGAAAATTAGTGGGGTGAAAAATTGAAAAATGTCCATATATGTCCATTTGTGTTGCAGTATGGGTGATATGTTGATAATTCAAATGGGGAGAAAACAAATAAGCACGAAATGGGGGCATATTCTAAGTGGAGTTGCGTTCGAGTTCAACTGCATAATCGGAAAAACGCATATTCTATGTGGGCGGGGTACATTATATATATACCAATAAGTTGGTGATATGTCTAATAGTTGATTGAGATATATTGGATGGTATACCAACTATTGATTGTCTATAAAACCAACCTATTGGATGACTTTCAGCAAATAAGTTGCTTTTTTAGTCAAAACCCTGGAACCCTACGAAGCCCAACAGGCCGCTGGTGGGTGTTTTCCCCCACCAAGGCACAGCCAGCAGACCCACAGGCAGCGATTCTGTTCCGCTGCCCAGTGCATCCACCAGGTGACCTAACCTGAGTCGCGCAAGAGGTTTTGATGCTGCGAAAAATGAGAGTTTCAGCAACAAACATGCGGATTTAACATGATTTATATGGATATATATTATATATATATTATATATTATATATTATAGTTAGACGAGGGCAATCCCGTCTTTTTACAGACCGCACCCCCTACAATACAATAGATTTTAAAGCGGTCAAAACAAAAAGATGGGATTGCTTTACCTTATAGATAATAACATAATCAACAACAAAATCATAACAAACAAATAAAACGAAAAAAACAAAACAACATAAGCAATACAATAGATTATAAAATAGACTATACCAAAAACAATAACAACAAACCAAAACAAAAGACAATTTCACTTTTATAAAAAGAAATTTAACTATCATTCTTCTTCAAATTCTCCTCATGTTTTAAAGTGTTTGTGTGCCTCTTGTAATTTTGAGTTTGAATTTCATAATCATCACTTCAAATTTATGGGGATAACCAACATAATTTTCATAATCATTTACTATGAAGATTAAGGGATTAATTACCACAGTCTCCCCCTATAGGGGAAGCCTCAGCCCCCAGCCAATATCTTTCTCAACATATTATCTCTTTAAATTACCGCAATTACCATGCCCAAACCGCCCTTCATGAACTTGTTGATAACCATGTCTTCTTAACCTCAGTGCGATGTAAATGGCACAGCGATCCAAACTTTTGGGGCGAAATGGAGTGAAAAAGATTTGTGTGGTGTGCGTCCCAGACTTGTTGGTGCCAGTCTTCTCAAGTTTTTGGAAGGGTTTGTCTTTGTATCAGGCATGAATGCACTGAATGTCAAGCTTGCGAAGGCTCACTGGCATGAATGCTCTATTGAAGCAATGTCCTATTCCTACTTGACACCCTGAAACCTTGCTACCTACAGACCTTGTCAATCAAAACAGCATCAGCCAAGAGCCCTGTTTTGCAAGTCGCCCTCCTGTGGCGAAGCAAGCAGCACTGTTTTGAAAGTCGCCGGGAAGCCCCCCCAAGACGTGAACCATCATCATGCTCGATCTCACCCAATCATGGGATGATATTGCCGCTTTTCTCAGTCTCCTTGCCGAGGTTCTCAGACCTGGGGGTGACGTTGCCGAGGTTCTCGGACCTGTTGCCGAGGTTCTCAGACCTAAAGGCGATGTTGCCGAGGTTCTCGGACCTCCCGATGATGATGTTGCTTTTCTCAGTCTCCTTGCCGAGGTTCTCGGACCTGGGGATGATGAAGCCGCTTTTCTCGACCACCCTGACGCAGGAGAGAATTATGTCGTTGCAGTAGTAAATTATAGGGCTTTTAGACCTGACCTCCCAAAGCCCTTTAATCTCGTTGATTATCACGCACATGACAGTACCGCTTTCCTCACTGTCGGTGCAGGAGAGAGTTGTGTCCTTGCAGTAGTGAGTTGCGCCGCTTTTAGACCTGACCTCCCAAAGCCCTTTAATCTCGCCGATTATCTCGCACATGAAAACATATCTTTTCACAGTCTCCTTGCTGAGGTTCTCGGACCTGGGGATGATGAAGCCGCTTTTCTCAGTCTCCTTAAGGTCGGTGTTCTGTGCCATGACGTTGTTGCAGCCCACGCACAATGCAAGGATTAGGCAAGCGAATACACCGGATTTGAGCGCCATGGCAATGCCGACACCCCTGAGCTAAAAAGCGTCCCTGAGTGGCTTGAGGAAAAACTCGCAAAAACAGCTACGGAAGAACATAAAGATGCTGAAAAATGACACAAGAATCCAAACTCAAACTGAAAAAGCTAATTTCTGTAGCTTTCCATTTGAGAATGTCAAAGGTGCTCAAATTGAAACAAATTCCAAGGTCAAGCTCTCCAATTGGCTTAAGAACATGTGGCAAATTCACAATTTCAAACCTCCAACTGGCATATTCCCAACAGCTGAGCGCCCCGACAACAGGATAAAGAAGAGATTGATGACGAAACCATGGCGGGGCAGAAGGACAAAGGAACATAGAGTAATCCCAGCCAATGACCCAGTCAAACACAAATTCGTGGGGAGAAACAAATGAAGGGCAAAACAAAACCACGAAACCAAAGGAGCACATCAAATCAACCATATCATGGTTGCATCATGGCTTTCTAAAAACACTAAATCTTTAAAAGTTCATGCCTCATCAACAATCTTGGGTAATCAGTTAATTTGTAATATTTTTGGTTCAACTTTTCTGCAACCTCTTGCACAACATAATAACCTTTCAGCCAGTGGGAAGTTCTTTCTTTTTCAGTAATCATTTTTTTCTCATAATCTTTACCTTATCACCGACAAATAATTCTGGATAGTTTTTTTCCTTCTTTGCCTTTGATGCTACATTAATCATTGCCCTAAATTCATTTTTCTCTTTCCTTGCTTGATTAGGTGTCATACCTGTAGCGGAATGCTTCATTTTATCATTGTATGTAAGCATTATTTCTAAATTGTAGTCTGTCCATTTGATATGTTCTCTTCCTTTCTTTTCATCTGCTTCAACTCTTTTAAAAAGCATATCTTTGTAGGTGCGTATAAATCTTTCAGCAAAAGCAGGATGACCCCTTGTCCTATACAACTCAATATTCTCACCTTCAATATAGTCTTTAAAATCACCTCCTGCTATTGCTTTTTCATCATCACTGTATATGATTTTTGGTTTCTTTCCCATTCTTTTTAATGCCTCTTTAGTTGCCTCAATAACATCAGGTTCATTCTTGCTTACAATTGGAATTACTACGGCATACTTGCTTAAAACATCAATACAAACCAATCCTCCTCTATATTTTTGTTCTTCATCAAAATCATAATACCCCATAAAAAAACAAATCAATTTGATAAGTATGATTGTTATGAGGTGCTACAAAGGAATTATGCCCTCTTGGCTTTGCTTTTATCTCAACATTTTTCCTAAAGAATTGTTCAACATCCTCTTTCTTGATTGTAGGTTCTTTCTTTTTAGCATCTTCTAATGTGGTCTTTCTTGAACCATAGCCACTTCTATCAAAATAAATATCACGAATAATTTGTTGTTTCTTACTTTCACTCATTATAGAATAGATGATATAATAAATATTAAAATTATATCATTTATTCTTCATTTTGTTTGTTTAACCAGTCTTGGTGTTTCTTTGTTCTAAAATGCTGTGCTTTGTATCCGTATGAAATGATACAACCACAATCACAGGTAATCTTTTTAGATTTTCTCTCATCGATTTTGTCAGCATTATTCTTTTGATATTCTTTTTGTTGTTCTTGGTAGTATGTTTTTTTGCTATGATAATTACTGCGTTTGATTTCACACAAATGTTCTCGCTTGTTGTCATTGTATTCTTTGATGCGCCCATTTTTATTGTTTTGGTAATAGTTTTTGCTTTTTTCTTTATAGGGTTCAGGATTGTCATTGTATCTCTCTTTTGCTGACCTTCCTGATATGTTTTTGTTGATACAGTCATTGTTCTTAATGTAATAACCTTCTCTTTTGTGAAGTTCGGCAATGCTTGAACATACATAGTTCTCTACTAATTCAATCTTACAGTTTTCAATTCCAAATTTATCAAACATATCAAATAAAGATGTGTATTTTCTCTTGTTTCCATTGAGATAGTGTTGGTAAGGTTTTTTATGTCCTTTAAATCTGTTTGGTAATGTATCTATTGTTGAACCGAAGTAGCATTGCTCATAAGCAATATCAACAACTTGGTAAATTTTGCCATTTTGGTAGTTTTTGGTTTTTACCATACTAAACACTATTATACATAAATAAACAGTCTTTAACACCATTTTCACAATGATATTTTATTTGAAAAAGCACAATTACAAGACACACAATATCCAACCACATTATCCTTGAAGTGGCTAATATCATTATTAACTCTTTGACAGGTTATATTTGATGAAATCCTGCCATCTTCAAAATCTATCACCAACGGTTCATTACAATTCTCACACTGGGTATTCATCAGGTTCATCAAAAAATCTACATCCACATAATCATTTCCTTCTACATCTCTACCTGCTTTCTTGTCTTGCTCAATGTAATTTAAAACCTTTCTCTCAAAATACTGCTCTACTATCCTTTTAGATTTACTTTCTTCACCTTCATTATATTTGAAAAACTTGATTTTGTTAAACTCTGTCGCCCTTGTAAGGGCGGTGAAAAACCAATTCTTACTAACATACCATCCATTCCAATCATATATCACTATATCACCATCAACACTACAGCCCTGCTTTGAATGAGCGGTGTAGCAGTAAGCATATATAAAATGCTTTCTCAATAATTTCAGTTCTATATTTTGCTTCTCACCAGTTGCCACATTTTGTAAAACAACAATATCACCAACAATATTTGCAATCCTAAATCTGAAATTCACATTAAATTTCTTACCGCCTTTAGTCTTAATATATTTTCTACATATCACTTCCTCATTTATCACATATTCTTCAGTTATATTTGTCATTTCTCTGATTTTGCTTGAAACCATTTTACAGGTGTTGTTTGTATAAGCAATGTTATTATCATACATTTCTATCTTGTCAGTCCATTTGAAATATGCATCAATGATTTCTCTAAAAGGTGTGCCTTCAAAAATCAACCTTTTAACATCTCTTAACTTTTGCCTATCTTCTTCAGTCTTCAACCTCTTACATTCATAAAGCATAATATTATTTTTGAAAATCAAATTAATACAATGGTCAGCATATTTTTCAAAAGCAATTACATTACTTACACTCTCAGGATTTTTTCAATTGCTTTGTATCACCAGTTGCTAATACAATCTTATCAGGGTTTTTTCTTCTCAAAGTCCCATATCAAAGCCCACTTGCCTACATTATGAAAATATATCTCATCAAACACTATAACATCATAACCTGAATAATCAAACTTGTTCAGTCTTTCCTCTCCAAATGAAATACCAAAAAACTTATTTATGGTAGTCCATTCACAATCACATTGTTGCCCTAACTCATTGCTATGAACAACAAATAGAACCCTGTAATTTCTTGTTTTTAGATGCTTACATATATAACTCTTACCTGTTCCTGCTGCTTCCCCTCTTATCATCAACCTCTTATTATTCAAAATATGCTCATCTATGATTTCATCAGTATTCCATTCATCCTTCACTTCACCAGTCATATTTTGATATTCAGTAATATCACACAAAATACTAAGTTGCTTACAAAATGCCTTGCTGGGAAAATTGAATTTATCAGACCACCTCCATTCACCAATCTCACTACCAAACTTCAACACCTCCTTTGCCTTACCCAGATTACATTTGTCAATAACAAAGGCATCGGTCTTTACAGAATAGACTGCAACATCATTATCTTTCAATTTTGTGTATGTTTCGTTCATATCAAAATTATGATGTTGTAAAATCAGTTCTTTGATAAACCTATATCCATTCAGTAAAGTTTTTGTATCGGAAATGTTCAGCACATAGTGCTTACACTCATCCACTATTTTAGCACATTCTTTCTCATCACTTTCAGGTTCAATGGCATTGCCTTTATCATCAAATTCAAGCAAACAATCATCATCATTATCATTCACTTCACCATCCCATTTAGTTTCAGTAATGATACTTATATCACCACCGTATTTTTCTTGATAGTAAAAGGCATCAACCATTTTTGAAAACACTATGGACTTTTTAGCCTTGTTAGTTTGTTTTTCCAATAAGCCAATGTTGATACAAGCAATCATTTTTTTCTTCAACTTATCTTTCTCTTCATCCTCATCCAGTTTCAATTTCCAAAGTTCATCAACTATTTTTTTGTAATTAACTTTGTATGTATTAGATGGAATTTTGTAATAAATGACTTCAACATCATCAGCATATTTTTTCAAAAACTTACCATATATCAAGTTATAAGTCCTATTGAAAAATAGATTTCTCACTTTGCTTTTAACAAAATATAATGTTAAAGCATTCATCTTGTTAAAATCATTTTTGTTATAATCATACTTCAACCAAATATCAAATTCTGAAAAGACAGGCACTTCAACAATGTCAATGGTGGATTTTGTATAAGCCTTTCTTCTATCTAATTCAATGTGTGTATCCTTTCCTTCAATGATGCTTTCAAAATATCCACTGGGAGCTATGCTATGAGCCATTGAAAATATCTTCAAGTCATCATTGTTATAATATGACTTGTGATTAGGATTGAACATACCCTTGTTGAAATTAAAAAATGCCTCATTGACTTTATTGAACATATCAGCACTATTACTATCAATACAATTATCCACCGCACAGTCTATTAAACTCTGACTTCTTATATTCAAAATCAACTTGTTAAATTTAACCTTGAGTGATGATACATTGCCACCTGCTCCCATTATGATTTTAGGCTCATACTTTGCTCTCTTGAACTCACAAAAAATTGTATTCAAATCCCTGCCACTAACTAAATTCACTTCCTCTTCACTTTCTTCATTAGCTTCAACTATACCCATTATGTCATCAATGCCATTGAAAAAATCATATTTAACTGGTTTCTCCTTGCTATTTAAACGAAAGTCAGTAGAAGCACATAGTTTCATATTTTCCTCCAATTCTTTTTGTGCTATGCTTTTGATGTTGTCATTCATTGTGTAAATGTGGTTTCCCTTAATCATTCCAAACAATACA